AAGAGCTCCACCAGCCTTCTCGTTACGTGGGTACCAATTCCTACCAAGCAGGGGATTGGAGAGGTAATGGGATATACCGTCATCTTTTTTGCTGTCAAAGACGGAAACAGAACTTCACAAAATGTCAGCGTGGAGTCTGGAAACCTTAACGAGACGAATCTTGACAATCTCCAGAAGTTCACAAACTACAGCATTCGAGTCCTGGGTTTTACAGAGAAGGACAAATTAGGTCCACTGAGCGATCCAATCTACGCCATGACAGACCAAGATGGTAAAAGCAAATAACGTTTTAAGACAATAAACATTTTATGTAATTGAACGAGCGTGAGGTCCGTCCTGGGGAAATATTGGTCGAGTGTTAAAATTTATGGATCGAGAACAGTGTTCCCCAATATGGACTGGATAAGCCAGCTCAAAAGAAGTCTATATTATAATGGCTCTTTTAAGATTCTGCTGATAAATTTAATGCATCCTGCCAGCCGCTCTCGGCAAACGCATGGGCAAAAATTTAACATCTGTTTTTACTTTTTTCCCGCCAAACACGAAAAAGGAAAAAAATATGTTACTATTAGAATAACAAACTGCTTCCTTCTTTGCAATGCTTAGAAAGANTTTTACGCCATCATTCTACGTTTGATGTTAATAAATTAGTCCAATAGACTATTTTACAGTTGTTCGCTCAATGACCTGGCCTTTGAGTGGCAGTGAGGCTGGAGTTGACCTTGTTTTGATACAGACCTCACTGCTTTTGTTGTGTAAATCAAGTTGTTCTAATGTTAACTACTTTGCATTTAAATGAGAAAAGCAGAGAGGTTTGTATCAAAACAAGGTCACCTCCAGCCTCGCTTACATTCGTAGGGCAGGTCACTGAGGACACAACTGTAAAAAGGCCTATTACCAATGTTAATAAACACGTTACATTTATTTTGTTAGTTCCGAGTCTTGCTCCATCAAATGTAACCGCGTGGGCCATGAACTCCAGCAGCATTTTCGTCAGTTGGGGTCCAATCCCAAGTGAGGGCAGAAATGGTATCATTATTGGCTACGGTTTGTTCTACACAAAACACGACGCCTTAGGACCAGATTGGAAACAAAAATACTGTAACAACACGTACGGGTGTGCAATAGCAAGTCTTGATATGTACACCCGCTATGGCATCAGAGTCACGGGTTTAACAGATAAAGGATTTGGAGTAGCTGCACTCGTGGACGCTGTTACTGAAAAGGGTGGTAAGTTTTCTTAATTAAATTCAATGTGTAATTTCTCCATGCAGTCTTGATACATTGTCAGATTAATAAACTAAGTAGAATAAACAAGCTTCAAATGGCGTTCCGGTTTAAAAGGGTTCTGGACTGCCAATCCGCCACCTTAGAAATGAGAGGAAATCTGGAGCAATCTCATTGCAGTCGCTTGTCAGACCGTTACTGAGAACAATATGGCGTCTTTTTTTTTACAATATGGCATCTTATCTTTTGTTACTGATATAACGTGCGCCATTTTTTTCTTGGGGCATGTACTAAAACCCAGACGGTGGATTCTGGACGATAGACGATAGACGATGGACGATTGACGATGGAC